AGGCAAATGCCTGTGTCTTCCTCCTAGCTGTACACATGTAGGCACCCAGGTCCGGGGTTTTAGGGTATTCGATAAATAAAGTCATGTTTTCTCCTGTCAGTGCCTAGAATCATTAGAGATGTAGGTGTCAGATGGAGATAAAAATGTCTATTTTGCGACTATTTGGGGGCTGTGACTTCAATCTGCAGCGAGAGTAAGATTGCAGCATTTCATGTCAGATTAAACTCACGCATAAAAAGCACAGGAAGCTGGAAATCTCCCCAGCAGCCCAGAGAGAACTCTTGCTTGTTTCCTGTGGGCAGGTTCGCACCCAGAGAGGAAGGGGCAGAGGTAAGCTTGCCTGGGTCTGCCTTCTAAACACCCCAATCAGGAAGCTGAGGGATGGAGGAGGGCTGCTGAGAGATGCTAAGAGTTATTGCTGCAGTGATCTCTGTCCACCTGGGACACACATTTACATGGATAAATCCCTACAGCATGCCCCAGGTACATGGGGGATCAGATGCCTGGAGCCGAGCAATCAGAAAATGAGTTAGAATCAGAGCTGAAGGCCACTGGAAAGGAAGTGAGACTTAGGGGACAGGCTCCGGAGTTGGACGTCTGCAGCTGAGTTTCACCTACACCAGTGGTCGGCAAACTGCGGCTCGGCAAACCGCGGCTCACGAGCCACATGCGGCTCTTTGGCCCCTTGAGTGTGGCTCTTCCACAAAATACTGACTTCTGCACATGGGCCACGAAGTTTCAATCGCACTGTACGTGGGCGCCCGCATGTGGTATTTTGTGGAAAAGCCACACTCAAGGGACCAAAGAGCCACATGTGGCTCACGAGCCGTGGTTTGCTGACCATGGACCTACACCAAGGCTTGGGTCTGGAGCCCTGAGCGGAGCAGCCAGCTGATGAATGGAACAGACAATAGGACCTGAGAGGGGGGAAGTTGCGAGAAAGCTGAGAAGAGCATGAAGCTGAAGCTGCCATAGGAAGTACCATTAGTAAATACTGAATTAGTTTATTTACTCCATGTTTCAGTACAGAATTTGCGATGGCCAAGATTTGTGTGTGAATAGGCATTGGAGAGAGAATGTAGGAGTGCAGGCATGTGAGCTATTGCCAGATAACATGCGGCCAGGTTCCTGTATGGGAAAGAGCGGAGAGATAACCTTCCACAGGAACAGAGGGGCTCTGACTACCAACCATCACTTGGAGGATGAAGTTAGAGTTCCCAACCCCCACTTGCCCTAAAGGAAGAATACTGACGTGTTCCAGAACAAGCCTTGGGGTGGGTGTAAGAACAAGCCCTGGGGTTTAAATTTTTTTCATGATTTGCCTTTGAATTTTGATTTTTAGTTTGAGTTGGTTCCAAGGATCTGACTCTTTGGGAGAAGGGATGAAGGAATAGGTAATTATAATAGCTCACATGTATTGAACATTCACTGTGGCTCAAGCACAGTCTAGAGTGCTTTGAATGTACCAGTTCACTTACTCCTCATAGCAACCTTATCAGGTATATGTGCTTTTAATAGCTCCATTTTGTAGATGTTGAAGCAGACGTGAAGAGGCTCAGCAATTTGCCTCAGCAACGGCACACAGCTAGTACACAACCGAGCTGGTCCAAATCCAGGCATTCTGGCTGCAGAAGCCACAGTCTAAACAACTAGGGTGGCGGAAAAGAGGGTGGAATCAGCCCAGTCTTGGATCCTTCCCATGTGCAAGGATCAGAGCCCCGCCTCAGGCTAGTTCTGAATTCACATCCTACAGTTGGGGTCTACATTTCGGTGGGCCTGCACCTTAACCGTGCAGGCCAAGCATCGTCTCCTGCTCAGAACACAGGTGGATGTTGCAGGGAGAAGCAGGGTCGTTGCTCCTGCTGACAACTCCTCAGAATGTGCACATTATTCAACAGATGACAAGGTGGCTGCATGAGTACTTTCTAGTCTCTGCTGAAGTTGGGAGGGAACAGAGGCCAGAAACAAGAGGTCTAGGGGAGATGCGGGATTCTAAGAGGCCCAGCGCCATTCATTCCACAAGTATATTTATTCGGCTCCTAACTGCATGCCCCTTGTCGCCTTCCGTTTCTTGGTGTGTTACTCTGCGTAGATATCCATCCCCAGGTTTCTGGGGATCCATACTTGTGGGGAGTCAGGTGGGCACTTACATAGCTGCTTCTCCACCTTCCTTGCCTGGCATCTCGCAGCCTAGACAGGAGGCCCCAGCGATATGCGCGCTGTTTGTTCAATACGCTTGGAAGCACAAGTGAGCTCTGTATTACCGCCCTTTCGGCCTGTGGCCGGAGTGCCTGGAAGTGCCTACTTCTCGCCCTGCAGAGCCACAGGACACACCCAGAGCACAGCCATCAGCTTTGTTCCTCAAGCCCCTGGAGAAAACCTTTGATTTCATGGGATGATTATTTTTCTTCTTGCCCACTCAAGGATGAAGCCCAAGAAACAAGAGGTTGCTCCTTTCAGAGGCATCACAATGGGTCACCTCCAGCCAAACCCACTGTTTTTTGTTATTCCTGGGTTTGGTTGAGCCTCTCTTGGAAACCATTACTATACAACTCACTTAAAAGAAAGAGTGGAGGGATTGGGCCTAAGAGACTCAGACGGAGGGGGGAGGAGTTGGGGGACTTGAGACAGCCAGGCTGGAAGTAATGTGTTGTCCGAGAAAGTACAGGAAGGACACATTAAAGTTTCACTCCGATTTGAATCAAGGCCATTTTGTAGTGACATTTTTAACCTTTTGAAAAGTCAAACTACTCCAAGTTTGACTTTTAGGCAAGCCTAGAGAACTGGAACTTCGGATGAAGGTTTCAGAAAAGGACAACACACACACACACACACACACACACACACACACACACACGAAGGGGGAAGGAAGGGGAGGGAGACTTTTATCCTAAAGTCATTGTAAATCCAAAGCAGGGTTTTATCCTCCACAGTTAAATGAGAAAGAAAAAAAATCAAGAATACCAACATTCGAGGTACAAAGACTGTCATGGGCCAGTGGAAGTTTGCAGAATTATATGTAAATGACCAAAGTTTCTTACTGTGGTGGCCCTGTGCATTTCCAGAGCTAATCCCAGAGAGAAAATCTACTTAGCAAAAGAAAGTTTTGTCTAATTTGGTTAACAGTTGAGAAGTGACAAAAATGCTGAATATATTAATAATTTATATTTCCAGGGTAACACTATATCTGTAATGCTTCACTGCCAGGGGAATTCAGATGGGCTTAGTGCTCGGAGGAGAAAAGCCTGAAAGGCCTTCCTCAGATTCTGTACCCCGCGCTGAGGAAAATGGGTGTAAGACATGTGTTCCAATAATAGGCGCCATGCAGGCTCCCCTTTTGCTTGGTTTGTTTCCGTCCCATATTGCTCAGTGTATATTTGTTATCCAGAGGGCCTCCTGGCCTTAGACTCACTTTCATGCTCCAACTATGTCAGTTCATAAAGGAGGAGATATTTGTTTGCACATCACAGTTTTTAGATAAGTACTGCAGCAACATGTAGTGCATGTCAGGACAAGAACCACTTACAAGGCCTTTTCTAAAGTTTATAATTTCCCCCTCCCCCACAAAAAACAACAACAAACACATACACATTTAAGTTTCAATGTATGGGCAGTGGAATGGAATGAGGCAATTTGTTTTGTCCTGTCTCTGTATAATCAAGTTTGATGGTTTACAAATTGCAGGTCATCCTATTCCATGACCTCAGTAAACAGCACAGGTCAGAGCTCCCTTAAACCCTGTCCACAGAAACAGAGTAAGCTAATCATTGTCCTCCAGCTAATCTGGGAGCAGACAGACCATCACAGTTGAGCTAAATGGCCCCGGGAAACAGAACCTGCTACATAATTTAGAATTCTTTATGTAATTGCATCAAAGCCAACAGGAGCAAAAAGAAAAGATGGAACAAAGAAAAGGGTCAATAAAGGGAAACATGTAAATCCCCATAAACACAACTTTAGCTGATTGGGCACCTTACTGAATTCTGTCTGTTTATATAAGACAACAGCCAGGCTTACTTTGCTGTTTAGGTCTTAGAAAAACATGACCTTAGCTCGCTATTTTAAACGTATCCCTGTTTTATGGGTAAGGTGCAGATCCAACTGGAGTTGAAAATCATAATCCCTTAAAGATACTAGCCAAGTCTCCCCTAGACAGTCTAGCCCCAAACTTGCCTGTGTTCTGGGTGGAGCAGGAAGGTTAAATACCCCCTCCTTGCCCACCCCCTGGGATGGGGAAGAGGGGAAGCGTTTGCTTCCAGGCCTGAGAACCTGAACCCCAAGCCAGTGGCACAGAGTGGGGATCCTCATTGTGGGGTATGCAGAGGAAACCGTCCCTGGAGAGCTCATTTCCTAGCCCAGCCGTGCTGGTCTCTCACCCTGATTCCTAGTCCCCTGGAAGCTGAGCCCATCTGTGCGTAAAAGGCGATGCCAGCTTCTCTAAACCTCCGGAGCAGGGTTAAAACACAACGAAACAGCAAACCTTCCTTGGATGTTGTTTTTAAGCCATACCTCAGAAGTTATATGCACTTAGAGACGTGTTAAGGCTGTAAATTTTGTCTCCCACTCAGCGGGCTGAGTGTCACCACTCTCCAGACCAGCGGGCACCTACATCCCTGGGCCTTGTTGTGGGGCAGGAAGGGCAGCGGGTCCGAGCTGGGCAAGTCCTCCAAAGCCAGTTTGGGGCGAGTCCTTGGACCTGAATTATCTGAGAGCCAATAGCCCCATTACTCACGTCTGCCCTTCCCCTGAGCAAATGCCCAAGATGCATGTGGGGCAGAGCGGGTCTGCAGCCTCAGGGAAGCCTCAAAATCCAGTCCCAAGGACACCTCCACTTAGTCCCCCCCCCCGCCCCCTCACACTGCACAGGGGTGGGGGGAAGTTCCCCAAATCACTGGGGGCCATCACCTTAGCCCCTGTGAGCCCCTGGCCCTGGCTGGGCACATCCGAGGGATGGATTGTGGAGGAGCAGAAGGTAAAGAAAGCCATCTCTTTGGGTCTTTAACAGAACACATTTATTGCCGGGGGAGACCGTTCAGAAGACTTGCTTTGCACTTGGCCTTCCCCACCCGCTGTTGGTCGGGACACTATATACACCTGTGCAACACGCAGTATCTCCTAAGCAGCGCAGCGGCCCGTGCCCAGAGAAAGCGGGCGGGCGGCCGGTGTCAGAGAACTTGGGGGTGCTGGGGCGGGTGCAGGTTGAGGCTGTTGGGGTGGGCGTGGCCGATCAGGTTGAGGTAGTGTCGATCCAGGCCCTGCACCGGCGCTAGGAAGGGG